AAACGTAACAAAAAACCGCATCTAAAATAGTACAGTAGAAGCCGTTCTTCCGGTTAAGCCTTAATTAATCATCTCCCCTGGGGAATTTCGAAAAATCCCTTCTTAGTGTGCGTTTTCATGACGTACACTAATTTTGTACAAAATTTCATATCTTTAGGTTCAGCAGTTTGCTGAACCTAAAGATGATGAATCAATCACTCAGTTAGTCAGTCAGGACAAGTAATTTTACATATTTAGATTACATACACTTATATATAGCCTTTATAAGTATTCGATATCGTTTATATTATTTGTTTTTATATTTTCAGGAAATTTATTTGTAAACTCAATTTATTGACACGTTTCGCAGAAAATGGCTTTTTCTGATTGATTGAAGTCATATCAGGTATATGGAGAATAATGTTGCATCATGTAGCCTGCCTGAAAAGTAGAAAAAGTGAAGTGATACAAAATTTATTTTAAATTGCTTATTGCAGAGATGGTAAACGTTTTTTAGTTCGAGTGCCTCATAACAGGTATAATTATCTTTAAAACAATTCATGTGTGTGTGAAGCCGCGGGATGTTGTCTTAGTCAGAAATCGAATTTATTTAAATTAAATTCAGGGCTGTGCAGTCGCGTAAAAATCTACCGACTCCAACTCCGACTCCGGCTAAAACACCAAAACTNTCTACAAGTTGACGATGAATTTCAACTGGCTTAACATTCTTTGCGTTCAAAAACCGTATTACAGAACGTACTTCACAGTTGGCGGGATCGGCAATCGTCTTAAACATTTTGAACGCTCACTAACACATGGAAAAACAACACAATCTGGCTCTAATGGCGTCACTGGACTGACAATCAACCAGAGGCACATGTATGCAGGTGCTGAACTGCGATACTACCACTGCGGTGGCGATAAAACGAAACGGTATTTACTTTCCGGACACGCCTCGTACATTAATATCAAAAATTGCTCGGGCTTAAGGAGTTAAAAATGCCTTTTCCATTATCGTCACAAAGTTTTTGTACTGACTATTGTAGCTATGGGCACTAAGAGGACTTTTTTTCATATCCATTGTAGGTTCGGCCAGGCCCACAATAGGAGTGATGGGTGACGAGACCCGGCGTATCCTGCAGGAACAGACACTCCCAAAAAATTCTTGGGGTTTTCCAAACCACCCGATTCGATTTCGGATCCTCCAGAACGGGATGCTAGTGCCTTATTCGCCTCGACCATCCGGTTGGCTAGAATTTTGAGGATTAAAATATTCCATTATCCAGTGACATATTATCGCACAAGCAAAGATTTCAACGGCTGGATGGCCGAGCGGTCAAGGTGGCTGCTTACCATCCTGGGGGGCCCGGATCGAATCCGAATGGTCGAGAAATCTCCAGGAATTTTTCGGAGATGGTCTGTTCGGATATTTCAGGCCCCGTCCCTCACCACCTGGCCGCCCCATTGTGGGCTTGGCCGAATCCATAGCGGGCTTACTAAAAAGAGGCCCTCTTAGTGCCAACAGGAAGGAGAGTTTAAAAAAATGTTTTGGTTTCTTTGAAAATTATATACTACTGTATTTGTTAATCTGATCTATTATGCTATTCCTTAGTCGAGAAAACGAAATACGGAATTTTTACAGCAATCTTCTTAGTAAATATAGAAAATGTACCAAATGAACTTCAATTGGAAAACAATAGCAGAGTCGAAAGATATATTGCTTTCTCAGCTCCCAATAGCTATAATGCTACGAAAGTGGTGTAATATTTCTGCCACTTCAAGCGCTGTAATCGCTTTGCGGCAGAGCAGCCATCTGTACACTAATTATCTTATTTGTACGATTAGTTCAGGTGCCATACGATTTACAATAATGTGGTTTTTTACGAAACTTTTAGAAATACGCTTTATTCCCAAAATAATCGTTAATTATTGAAAAAATCCAATTCACAATCACCATTTTTTGTTTGTATGTTCTCATTGATATTTCGTACCTTTTCTCTATGCCAAAAGGCTACTAAACTTAACCTTTTACTTACATTGGCTAATACTGCATATTCTTGATTATAAGGCGCATCTTTTTCATACCTTTCAAGACTGCTATACTTTTTGATCAATTAATAAAATGTTCAAATTTGTGTGCAAAGAAAATTTGCACAAATAAACGTTCTGTCGAAATATCACTACGCTTCTACTTGTACAAAATATACATAAGTACCAAATTAATACATTTTTATTAGAGTAGTTTCCATCTAGTGAGCTGTCTAGAATCGACATTTTTGGACACTAACATTTCTTAAACTAGGGGGTCGTGACTACTCGGGGATTGACTAAAAATTTGTCCAAAAAATCTGGAAAATTGAGATTTATGCGATGAAATAAGTACGGTATATAAAGGAATGTGTTACATATAGTGAAATTGTACGAAAAAACGTAAATTTTAAATTATGCCCATTTAAAGAGGTTTGTAGGTTTGTTTTGAACCATGTAAGGGAGAGTCGTGAAAAGTTCATCGTAAAATGAAGTGTAAAAATTTTTTGGGTACTTGTGAATTCTTGTTCCAGATGTTGTCCCCGCCCTGGCAACCAACATCTCAACTAGTACCTGTATCCCTTCTGAAACAAAATGACCGGCAGGCTAACTTTGTCTTTCCTAATATTTATCTCACATGATAAATATTAGGAACTTTCCTCTGCGGGATATTCGTCTCGTAAGGTCACTTTTTAACACGTATCAGTCTACTGCCTATTCTATATGCTCGACCTTGCTCGAGATGGCCTAAGATAATTTCAAGTAATATACCATAATTTTCTCCGTAAAGTTGGCAATTCGGATTCATTTTTAAAGATTTTTTTGGAATTTTAATTATGGGTAAGAAAAGATAGGGCTAATTATATATATATATATTTATATATATTTACTATCTATACATTATTAGGATGCCCTCAGTGAAATCTTCGATTCCAGAAGAAAAGAGGAAAATTAATTTAATTATGGATATGTATAGAAATGTTAAGACAAATGTTGGGATAGGTTGGTGTTACAAAAAGGGGATTTAGAGTGGATTTTGGAGTGTATCAGGGTTTAAGCCCATATCTTTTTTATTAATATTAGGTGAATTATTGTAGGATGCAGTGACAAAGGCACTATGGTATATATTATTTGCAATTCATATTGTATTTATTAATGAAATAGAGAAAGTTGAGTCAAAAACTCAAACAGTGATAGTAACGATACAGAGTCTAAAACATGCATTACTTGATACTTTAATCATATATGTACGTAATAGATATGTACTAGTGGACGAAATAAGATTATATATGTACAGTACTTAAAACTACATATAAACAAGGAAAGATGTCAGAGTAGGCTATTAACAATTCTACATTCATATTCTACTTATAATGGTGCAGAATATCTTATAAACTATTAAAATAGACACAATGTGAATGTCATAAGAAATGCAATTTTGTGGGTCAAAATAGTATGAGATCCCAAATACTGTTTATTACTACTGAATCAAGTTGTGTACCTCATGTAGTATTAAAATTAATAAATTTGAAAAAAACTTTGCCTTTATCCAAGTTAAATTTCTGTGGCTGCTTAAATTAATGTATTTTTCATTGTACCAGACCTAGCAGGAATCAATGCAAAGAAGTTACCAAACAAAATGTAAATACAAGTTTTTACTAAAAATTGTTAATAGTTTAGGATTGGATTGAATTAATGGAATAAAGCAATGCAACATAAGGGCAATCTTGAATGAAAGTCTGTCCAAGAAGATGTCTCCCAAGAGAATCATCATTTTGTTGGTGTACAAAACTTTTCAAACATTAAAACAATCATCACAATGGATGAGTAGACCAAAATAGTAGGTTTAGTGTGTTTCATTATAAACATTTTGTGTGGATTGTCTTTTTTAATTTAAATTTTACTTAAAAAAATTGTTGCATGAAATTTTTTATGTTTCACTTTCATTAAATTAATCAATGTTTCAAATTTTTCAACCCATAGTTGCTGAGATATTATTACTTAAGTGGCAAATCAAATTATAATCTCAAAGGTAAGTTAATACAAATCTCAATTCCAATAATTAGCTTAATAGGATAATTTATAAACTAGCACTACACTATTACAAGTTTATCATTATAATACAAATCCGTCAGCTTTGAGTTTTCCAAGAATTTCAATGTTCACATAATGTTCAGGAAACAGCAAAGCTGAAGGATTGTTAACAAGAGAGCTCCAAAGCACAGACTGCTTTAAACATCAATAATTCTTATCTAAGGACTGACTGACATTCAGGAAAGTAAATGAAAAACATTTGCTTCTCTGAAAGTGTACAGAGTTGCATAAATTGGAGTATCATAAGCATAATCTACAAGCTAGTATGCACTCTGAATAATTCCAGCTATCATCTAGCCTAATACAAGAATGGATTGGTTGGATGGCCGAGGAAGTTAAAGTGTTAGCCTATCATTCTGGAGATTTAGAATTGAATCCAGGCAATCAAAACTACAGGAATTTTTCAGTGTGTGGTGTGTTCTATGTATGTCATGCCACATCCCTCATCACCTGGCTAATCCATTATCAATCTGGTCTAACAAGATCTGCTGAGGGAAGCTGGAAATTTTTCCCTAGGCGTAGAGAAAACTTAGGAACCAATAGTGATTCTTACTCCTATAAAATTAATGTTATTTTTACTAACAGAAAATAAAATCTTTAAGACTGATCTTTATTAATAAACAAATATTGTACATATTTCATTTATTAAAAAAACAAAAACTTAAAGGGGCCCACTGAGACAAAAGGGCCAACTCTACCCCTCAACAGCCCTGGGTCTTAATCCATAATAGATATGATTAAAAAGCTCACAGAACAAAGTTTAAAAAATACAGGTATCATCCTTGAATATAAATGACAACTGTGTTTTAAATTTTTCAATTTGTTTTGCCAGTCTAAGAAAAGACTGCAAAATAAATTATTTTTCAAATACAGCTTTCCAAATAGATTACAAGGCAGACTACTTATCAGAAATATCTTTATTGTATCATACAACAAACACTAACTGGGTTACCATACATTTCAAATATAAGAAAATGCACTTACATAAAAAAAAAAAATACATGTACTACAAAAATTTATATTTTGCTTTTTAAATTCAAGAAAACTTCCATTAAAGTGGCCATCACAATTACTGAAAACTAAGTTATAGTTTTTAAAAGTATCTTACATAACATTTATGAATAACAATTATATTAAGACTTGGCATAAGCAGTACAATGGCAAATACATAAAAAGATGTGTTCTTTCAACATTGCAAAACATGCTGCTGTGACTTACTTCTCTCTCTCTCTTTTTCTTTTAATTTAATTAAGGCCTATGAGAAGCATGGATAGTAATTACTATTTCTAATAAAAATTTTTTTATTTTTGCTGCCACAACACAATTATCATTGTTGTCTGGGACAACTATAAACATTAGGAGAAATTAAAATGGTTTCATTTCTTTTTTATTTTTTTTTTATAAAACATAGAATCTCTGCTTGAAAACAAACATTGAGATTATTATTCTTTTTATATCTAAAAATGTACAATCACAATTTTTATTCTTTTTTTTTCTTTTTGATATTATAGTTTACTGACATTTTGAATGCTTATACTGATGTTATTGAAAATCATTTATAATGGACAATGTATTTAGTTTTGTAACATTCCTGGCTAAATTTTTGCATAACAATAGGCAGGAAAAGTATGCCATGTAGAGACTTTAAACAAAGCAAAGTAAATTGCACATAACATATTTATTACAGAAGCTTCACATGTGAAATTAAATCGTTTAAGAAAAACCTTTCAGGTATCTTTTGATAATTAAAATATTTACTTTGTGAAACTATATGAAAAATAAATTTGAAAAATTTGTAAATTGTTCATTTTTATGAACAATCTTTTTATTTTAGACAATTTAGTTTTTAAATAGCAAATTATGAGTATAAAACAACTATTTTTCCCCCTCTAAAAGGCAGGTATCTCAATTGCACTTTTAATAGAAAAGAATGGGTATTTAAAATAATCAGAATTTTAAAATGCAATTCACAGAGCAACTAGTCTGGTTTAATAGATTGTGTACATTTTCAATATATTATTATATCAACTCTATTCAGTAGGAATGATATTAATTTTACATAGCATTCTAGAAAATGCAAAGATATTTGTGCGTCAGTAATTTTGCTAAGAACTGTCTCAAAATAATTCAAATATATATATATATATNTATATATATATAATATATAAATTTTTTTCATTTAAACTTACATCAATATTTATATCACTTCAGAAACTTTGATCATTATTGATAATATTCATCCAATAATCTGATTTGTGTGTACGTGAAGAAAAGAAGAACAGAGTAAGGTACTTTCATAAACTTTGATTAATAACAAAGTGATCAATTTTAAAATGCTTTGATCATCTCTTATAATGGCAAACTGACTTATAGTCACATTTGATGATATGACAAAATATATCACTCAGATTATTTCAAATTATCCCCATTACAAAAAAATAATAATAATTAAAACAAATAGAAAGCTACAACATATTTAACAACAAATGCAAAAAGTTAACAAAGATGTGAGTAACATTTAACTATACCACAACTATGTTTCAGAACTCTCTACAGACTTATAATAGTACAAGAATTATCATTTTTTTTAACAAATTTAATTTCAAATATTGGTATCGAAGTCATATTTTTTTGCCTCCTAATTTAAAAGATTGCAGTTGCAATGAAGATATATGTTTATGAATATATATATGAATGAGTACGTTCATAAGAAATAAACTGATTCTGTAATATCATCAATTTTTTTAAAAATGTAGGTAGGTTAAAATTCTGAAGATGGAATGAAACCCATTAATTTATATATTTTTCTCCTTAAATTCTAATAAAAGATTTGTTAATTAGTAAATATATATATATTTATTTATTTATCATATGCACAGAAATGTTAAAAGGTTTCAATGGATTTCAATTTCCCCTACAAGCTAAACAGATAGAGTTAAAATGGCAAAGACATTTCTGTTCTAAAATAATATAATCAAAATGCAAATGACACAACCATTTAGTGTGATGGGTGTCAGACACCATCCTCCATTTGTCACTTAATTTAGAAATTTTTATTTTAGTTTTTTTTTTTATTATACTATGGGATGAACATGAGGTCAGCATTCAAATGTTTTATATCCAATCTTTAGTTGGCAGTTGCTGCCATTAACAATTTAATATGATTTTGACCTGTAAGATGCATGACAGAGTGATATGATTTATAACTTGATGCATATAAAGGATAATGACGGCTTTACATTGGAGGAAAATAAACAGATAGGTATAATGTGTTAGCTATGTCACTATCTTTATAATATGCAATATTTAACATTCAGCAAATATATGCAATATCTGCCTTTAATGCAACTGGATCAATATTGTTCTTATCAACAGGAACAAAATCCAAGATGCCAATGGTTTCCAAACTATCTGAACTATACCATAACAAATCTGGAGAGGTAATAGAATTTTCTCCATCCAAATGTAACTCGTGACCCTAAAAGTGAAAATAAAAATTATAAGGAATTTTACAATATAATGTAATTAATATAACAAAAATATTAAAACATTGAAAAAAAATTATCTTAAAAATTAACTAATGTCCTACATCAGGGGTGTCAAACTGGCAGCCCACAGGCCACATGCAGCCCCCAATATGATTTTTCATGGCCCACAGTCATGATGCTTTGAAATTAAATAAAATGGCTTACAGATCAAGATTAACTGCTACACATCTATATGCTGATTGTTTGTTCTCAGTCTTTAAATCCAGATATTGAAAAACTAGTATGAGGAAGACAACATTGGCAAGTTTCTGGTTAAACAATTAATTTTAGTTTTATAAATATGTACTGTACATTAAATAAAATAAATGTTTAAATAAAAGCAATACTATAACAATTATATATTGTTGAGTTGAATTCACTGAACTAAATAATGTATTTTAATTGCCCTATCTATATTCCTGCATTCTCACTTCAAATTGTAATTTTAAGAAAATTTGTAAATGCAATGTGACCCATGTGAATCTTACCAGTCACATTAATGGCCTGTTGTTTAAATGAGTTTGACACAGCTGTCCTACACGTTCTATTAACTTATTACTAAATTGATTAAACAATTGTATTTACATTCACTATTATATTGTTTAACTTATAATCTGTAGAACATATTATGTAACTATGTATAATAAATCTGGCTCTTATTCAAATGATTATTATATTATGCTTTGCTTAATTATTTTAATATTAATTTTTCTCTTAAAATTAATTCTTATAGAAAAATAGATTAAATAATATAAAAACATTTCAAAATTTTTTAATCATTATTTCTTATATATACAATAGATTATAATAATTTATTGCATATTCTTTCAAGAAAATATAATATTCAATAAAATTTATTTATATTCACAATAATATCTGGAAAAGAATTATATAAACAATTTTGTTTTATAAAGTAAATTATTTACAATGTTACTGAATTATTTTAAAACAATCCCTACATTTACAAACAGTTTTATTCTTCATATGTTTTCAGATATGTTGTGTACCTTGATCAGAAGGTCTAAGACTGTTTATTATAAGCAATAATGTGAAAGCAATAAGCTATACTTTCCAAGAAAAAATATTACTGCATTCTTGCATAATTCTATACCTCTACCAAGTGTTGATAAATAGTGAAAGATGTATGAGACAGTTAAGGCACCATAGAAATAAACTTTGAGGGGACCTGGGACTCAATCCAAGCAAGCAACTCCAGGAATTTTTGTGGCTTGTCTATCCCAGATATGTCAGGCTTAGAGGATTTGATCCCGGGATCTCGAAAATCGGGATCCTGGGATCCCGACCACTTTTCAGTACCAAAATTTTCGGGATTAAGTTTTCCTAATCCCAAGATTTTCGGGATTGACATCATTTTTAAAAAAGACTGCATGAAACGAAACGTTCAGTGCCAGTGCTTTTAACAGAATTGCTTGCCTATCATTTTAATATAAATACAAGAAATTTTATTCCAAGCAAGCAGCAGAAATTAACCTAGCGGGCTTGCTTGGAATAAAACTTCTTGTATTTTCAACTAAAATGATAGGCAAGCAGTTCTCACTGGGTCACTTGGTAATATACTTCATTTTTGTATTTTTGAATTTTCGCGGGCGCCAATCGATTTTCTGGTGCAGTCGAGAGCACCAGTGCTCTCGACAGGTAAAACGCACTGAGTAGTACTCAGTGCTGACACATTGACAGGTAAAACGCACTGAGTAGTACTCAGTGCGTTTTACCTGTCAATGTGTCAGCCATCTTGTTTTGCCAGTGTGGTTAATATAAACCCGACGCCTCTCGCTTAGAGGGTCGACCTTAGGTGAAAAGGTTACGACCCTCGCCTTGCCCGCGATCTGTCAGGATGATGCGAGAAAGTCTTTTTACGTTTCGGGGTAGTGGTTTGCTGGACGCTGAGAGACTCACACAGAGACCGAATTTACAAAATTAACGCGTTTATTTTTAGAAAGACATGCTTACAATGATCGAAACAATCGGGATTGTAGCCTTTACTCCTACAATCCCGATCCGTGTCGACCGGACTGTTTTCTTCCATCCTCCCCGTGTCCTCGAAGCTTATAAGTATTTACTAACGATTCCTCCAACTTCCATCAAACCTAAACGCGTTTTCTCAGCAGCTGCATATATGTGCAACAAATTGAGAAGCAGACTTGGTGATGAGACACTGGATGCGTTGTTATTTCTCAGATCATATTTTCGCAATTCAAATTAGAATGTTCCTATTAGATTAGTTTTCTTTATATTTAAGAAAAATGTGACTGATTAATATTATTTTTAAATACTTTTTGCTAAGAAACTTACTTTACTACCTACTTACTAGGTTGTTATATGAAAGTAGTCTATTTAGTCGATGTTAAGAGAGATTTTTGTTAATTTTCAACGTTTATTTGCATAGTTTGTTACATAAAGGTTTTTTCAATTTATGTGAGTTTAGAGGTATGTTAGTGATGCTTAAAAAAGAATAAATTTAACATGAAACGGTGATTTTAAATCTGATTAGTCTGACTCTAAGTCTGATTAGTTAGAGTAATTAAATTAACTAGGTGTATACCGTAAAATACGTTGATTTTTGTCTAAATTTTGATTTTTGATTTCTGTAAGATTTTCTTATTTTTTATTAACCCTCAATACCGAAATAATCCCGGGATCCCGGGATTGAATAAGTATAATCCCGAAATCCCGGGATTAGAAATAAGGACCGGGATCAAATTCCCTAGTCAGGCTCCATCTCACATCCTCAATTGTTCCCATTGTGAATCTGGACAAACCTGCAGTGGGTATGGAAAAAATCTCGCTTAGTGCCAACAAGGCATGGAAAAGGTAAAAGTAAAACAATTTTCCATATATTTATAATTGCCTTTGGTGATGATTGGATAAGGCAGCAATTTTTCAATGAACAGCATTTCAGACATGATTAAGAATCTACCAAAAATGGTTTGTGCTTACATAAACCTTTGACAACACACAATGATGAAATGATCATTAATGTACACAAAAAGTAAGATTTTAAGGACTGACAATCAACCATACAAGAAAATGATGATGATCAAAGATTTATTATTAAATGCCAACTAATTTAAGCTAGAAATCTTTACAAGCATTGAGTGTCCACAAAACTTACTCCATAACAGCTGAACAATGATCTTAAATCCACTGAAAATTTTTATCAAGGATAATGTGCATGGTGGAAATGCAAATCTGAATGAAACTTCTGCATTGTATGTTCTTTGGAACTTAGCATAAAGTTGGTATTAAGAACAAATCATACAGAAATACTCCTTTTGACAGAAAGTGTAGATTTATTTTTTATAATTTACAACAGATATGCATTTCAGACTGTATGCCCTCTTCAGTCCTTATTTTATTATGTAAATTGGTAAAACTATATAAGAAATTATTGAATGTGTTTAATAATTATTTATATTTAACATTCGCGTAACTCAAACAAAAATTTTTCAAAAATAATTTTAAAAAATAGGCATATATCTATTCAATTTCATCAAATCCTCATTACCAATGTTAAATTCCTGGCATTCACTTGTGATACTGACATAAAATTCCAAACACATAAGACAAAGAAACATCATAATTTTATGTATGAGATTACATTTATCAGAATAGTGATTTAGGATCAAACAATCTTCAGGCTCTGCATATTTTAATTTGATTAAAAGAAAAAGTTCAGAGGAATTGTTGCAAGACTTTTGAAATATGGCAATGATTTCTGCAAGATTGCAATATTTCTTTGCATATTGCTATTTCCATTCAGAATCTTTTGATGTGAGCAAAAACATTAAAAATGCATTCCATTAAAACATTTTAATGAAAATACTTTAAATATTAATGTTTCAAGGAACTTATTAATGTTTTAATAAATTCCTTAAATTTTGGTATTTTGATTTCCACTGTGTATGTTTCGTATACTGTAAATGTTTAAGAATTGTTGTCGATAATTATTGGCCATAATTAAAGTTTCTCTATTCATGGCATTCTGTAGTCATAACCAGGAAACAAAAACTTAAGCTTAGTTCACACTGAGCGCAATTCGCTAGCGAAAGCAAAAAACAGAGCAAATAACACGTCAGACATGACATTGTTTCCAGCAAATTTTACCATTTCGCGAATCGCTTCAAAGTTTGGAATTGTTGAACTTTTTCGCTAGCAAAAAAATTTCACACCAATCATATTCCCACTAGTTGTCACATGGTTCTTGTTGTTTTCAAGATGGCTACAGAAACTTTCTCATGCAATAGATTACATGTTGTAATTACGAATTTTAATATTTCTCTCACCCAGCATCGTTTTCTTTTTGACTTATTTTTCTTTCTCAATAAATAAACAAATGTGGTTAATGACAGAATATCAGAAGCGGCCATTGTTTTTCGAGATGATGTTTTCACTTACTTGCAAATGATTGGCTGTTTAAAATTCGCAATCGCTTTTCCCTTTTGGTTGTAGGGTCAATTTCACTAAGTGAATAAAAATTGCTATTCGCTTTTCACATTCGCTTTCGCTATTCACTCAGTGTGAACTAAGCTTTATGCTATTTTCCTGTAGAGCACCTTTACAGGAAAATACACAAAACAAAACAAAACAACAAAAATATAAAGAAATTCATTTATTCATTCCATAAGGGATATGCCTTCTGCAGAGACTATTTATTGTTGTAAGTAATGTTGCTGAATGTGTGCCCCGTTGTTCAGGTGTAAAATTTAAAGGTGTTCTACAGCTGACTGCATCTGCTCTCCAGTGATGTTTCATGTATACAGTGCAATATGACCCTTTAAGTCTGCCAAAGTTGCAACATTTTCATGATAAACCATATTCTTTAAATAGCCCCATAACCAGAAATCACACAGAGAATATGGTGGCCAGATAATTAGAAACAAATGACTAATCACCTGGTGATTGATAAGATGTTGACATAAAACCTGTGTAC